TCTAGCTCTTATATCTTCTGAAATCGACGCGTTCAAGCATACGGACAGACGGACGCACAGACTGACAGGGCCAAATCGAAAAGAAAAGAAAGAATATATATACTTTGTGGGGTCTGCCACGTCTCCTTCTGCCTGTTACATAGACTTTAACAAAACTATTATACCCTGATTTCCCGTTTTCAATGGATTCAGGATTCAGTCATCCGATAACTTTTTTATCGAGAATAATCGAACTTTTTTTTTTCAGCCTAATTTGAACACTTTTAGATTTGGAGACTTTAGATTTAATGTGTACATATACTTGATGAATAAAATACTTTTGTAATTTACAGATTTCGGTTACCACTCCCCCTTCTCCAAAATTTGTGAAAACGTACTTAAAATACAAGAGACTTGTGATTTGGAATATACACACAATTAAACATTATGATTACGTTCTGAAAGTTTCATTATAGTTGTATGTCTACAAAAGAAATTATTAGACAAAAATATTCTCATAATAGCCCAACCGCATTTAGTGCTTATACGTACATAAAAGAAATGCATAAATGCATAAAAGAAATGCAAAATGATTAAAATATTAGCTTGGAAGGTTCAGGGTATATAGGCTCGACTAGAGCCTTCATAATTGCCAATTTTGAATTCCGGATTAAGGATATATACATATTTAATGTATTGTAATATGTTTCTGTTTTACAGCTTCGAATGTTAGCAATTACTGTGCACTGAAGAATTCTCCACACGATATCTATAGAAGCCTGTAAAGGGCAAACTTATTCTTCTTCCAGTGAGAACACCTTTTTCTTTTGCATTAACTTAGATTATCTATTTATTGTAGTGGTCTTATCTCTTATATATAATAGATAATATGCTATAACAGGCATTGGTCTATGTCATCCATTCTATCGAGTTACTCTTCAGCTTGAGTTTATCAATTATCTTCGAGGCAGCGAGTCTTCATATGGGTGCTTTAATTAAATGACTGCCATAGAATTCAAAGCTTCTACAAACTTTTTTACACGGTTCTGAGCAGATATATGTAAATACTATAAGCAAATAACAGTTTAGCAAATCAAGTTTGTCAGACATTAAACACGTTCTATCTGTTATTCAAAATATGCGACTTGAAAAAAATAAAGAATACATAAAGAAATCACAATTTGAGGAGAATAAGAAGACAGTCGTTTGTTGTCTTGTTGAAGAAATTTACACAATCCGGATTTGTTCTAAATTGGCCTATTATTCTCTTTTTGCTTTATTGATGAAATTATAAGTGAAATAATTATATTTAAAATTGAATATATTTAGAACAATGTGGCGCATTTCTATATACTACTGTCGACTGGTATAACGTTATTATATACATATATCGACCTGAACGGATTATTTTTAAAGATCAGTAAAATTTTAGATTTGGTCCGGTCTACTCATCAGATTATTCACGACAAAAAATATGGAATTGAATTATATATGACCCTAATTGTAACACCTGTCGTAGCTGGCATGGCATTCAGCAAGTATTAACAAGGTCGTGCGCCACTTTTGGCAAAGGTGTAACAGGTGTTTCTTCGTCAGCACATCAAATGGCAAAGCTGACTGATGTCAGCGGATTTACAGGTGCTTACCTCATTTATTTACTCACCCAATTCGGCGTAGCATAGGGCACCCACCATGCTGAGAACTCCACAGAGCACCCACACGATGAGCGACTGTCCAATTGAGCCGGAGAACATGAGCACACCTTTGGGGCTAACGAAAATGCCGGCACCCACGATGACACCAACGATGATTGCGACGCCATCGAGCAATCCGATTTGTTTCTTGAGCTTTACTCCCGAACTCTGACTGGAGGTATCTGTGGCGGAATTGCTCCGGTCACGTGCTTTTTTATCACTGCCCGCCTCTATTGGCACCTCAAATACCTGACGCGGTATTAACGTATCGCTAGCTTGAATGCGTGTCATATTTTTCGACACGAATGCTCAGATATTTGGCGAATTACTTTGTTTTCAAATATTCGACTGCCACAAATTGGTCCTTTTGTTAAATAGCCTCGAAAATATAGTGTTTTGTGCATATGTACATATGTATGTACATACATATAATCGTGCACACTAATTTTATCGTTTTTCTTTTCTATTTGGTATTTTGAGTTCTCTGTCAGCCTGCGCTCTCCACACTCGCACTGCCAGCGTGGATTTTGTTCAGTTTCAAGCAAAATTTCGTGTTTTACTTTGCGGTCGGCCTCATGCTTTACTTTTCTTTATACTTTACTTTACTTGTCGCACTTTCGTATGTGCTTCTGCTTGTGAGTGTGTGTATGTATAAGTGTGTGTACGTACATATGTTGTATGTATGTCAGTGCACGCATGCACACTCATTTGGCTGCACACTAAAAAAACATAAAGCACACGTGGAGCGACACTCGCTCTTAAACAGTTTTAGTGAGAAGAGTTCGCTGTGCGATGAACAGCATCGTTTGTTTGGCGTGTTATTTTCAAAACTTTTGCCGTTTAAATTGTTATTTCAATTTCGGATCGGTTTCGGTTTCTATTCCTGCTCACAATTCAAGAATTAGCTTCACGCGCTGCGCTGCCCGATCGACCGCACTTTACGCGCTCCGAGTCCAAACTAAGTTTCCCATATAAATACACACTTCCCTTTTATGTGATGAGGCGCGACGCGTCGCTGCGCGGCTGAGCGGTTAACTTTGGCTTTGGGTTTGCATTAGCCACCGCGACATAGGCGGCTGCGACAGCTGTGTTTGTGCTTTAGCGCTCTTTCTCTAGCTGTCTCTCTCTCTCTCTCTCTCTCACTGTCACACTTTTGTCGCCTCTCTGTTAGTTCGCCACGCATTCGCTCTTAGGCCTTTAGTCTTGAACAGACTTGATGGGTCGTTACCTGAGAACCTGTAATGAAAGATGGTCGTTAGAGCTAAGCATTACTTTCGCATGCGTGTCACTGCTTCTCTATAAACGCGTTCTTTCTTTCTCTCTTTAACTCCATCGCACAGTTCACTCTTTTTCGCATAGCCCAAATACGCATTGGTTATGTACATACATATGTAAATATACATACATTCATATGTATGTGTGGCGTTAGCATGATGCAAGAATCGGCCTTATTTCTGCAGCATTTATTTTCAGCAGTACGTTAACTTCTCGATATCTGTACATATGTATGTATGCGTGTACGCAGCATGGATGTTTTTTGTATCGCATACAAAACAAAAACATACATGACATACATACATACATACATATGTATGCATTCACTCTGAATGTATGCCACATTTTTATACATATTCAGAATATAAAAATATGTACATATGTACATAAATATACATATATACATATACATGTATACATATGTATTTACACACATACATATGTACATATGTATGTACAACCATGTAAGCAACATCAGCTGCCAACATAGTTTACGTGCAAGCTTCTCCCTATTCTCTGTGCAGTGTATTTGATTTAATAATATACAAATTAAAAACGCTCATTCATTTACATTGATTACTACTGCAGATATGTAAGTAGATATACATGTGTATGTATGTATGTATATGTAAGTATGTTGTATTTACCCTAAGCTATTTCTGTGTAATTATGTTCATATTAAATATGTACATACATACATATGTATTTATATGTACAATTGAAATACAACATTTTTATGTATTAACACATGTGTATGTATATATTATATTTATGTAAATGTATTTACATACATCTAAAGCTACGTGTATGTACGCAATAATGTTAGGTTAATGTACGTATGTATGTATGTAAATGTGGCAATCATTATTTTTTAGCAGTGTACTACTGATTCTTGTCAAAACCCATTGCTGGGGCTGGGCAAATCTTTTGATTTCCAGTTCATTTCCCATAAAATTTGCTGAGACAATCACATATACTACATACATACATACATATGTATCAATCACACACACACACACACACACACACACATGTATGTATGTATATAAGGTATTTTCTAGTCGACTTTTAATCGCCTAATGCGCTCGCGTTCCCACATTAATTTAAGTATCTTAAAAGCTAATTAAGTGTCAACTTTTTTTGGTTATCGACTTTCACTAAACTAGTAGAAACTAGTCGAAGTGGCGAGACCGTAACAACGAAATATCGAAATCTCCTGGTATAAGTCCGCAAGAATACACGCACAATCGGAATATACCATACATATTTCGTGCTAATTGATTGCTGTTTATAAAATTTGACACTTTTAGACATGTTAAAGGCGTGCCAGTTCATCAACCGGGTGGGTATGCTGGTAAATGTAGCATTTGATTTGTTTCACTGAATATCCATTAAACAATTATGGGATGTACGGGAAAGGTAATAACAAACACCAATTTCTCACTTAAAAGAATAAGTTTAGCTTAGTGTCCACTAGAAGATATCATTTTGTAGTAGACCCAAAGGAGTCGTAAGCAGTCGGTACCGAAACTGCGTCTGCTTTGTGTTTCATACATACATACATATATAATTGACTAAAACTTTGATAGCTGCATACATATGTATCTATTCTCTGTGGTTGTAGCCGCACAATATAAAGTATACTTGAGCACGTTTATTAAAAGGGTTTGTGTCAACAGCATTGATTTTATTACTAGAACTTAATTTTGGGGAACCTCATCATGTCATCAAATTATACTTAAAATATGATAAATATAAATGTATGATATATGATAAATATATAATAATAATATAATAATAAACATATAATTTGCAACAGCATTAGGATTAAATATAGAAATGACAATTTAAATTTTATTGGCTACGGCTTCATAGATTTCAAGTTTTGAATTAATAGCATATAATCATTATAGTTTGTATAAATATTGCGTAGTTTTGAATTATTTTCCGATGTATTCGTGGATCTCATTCTTGACTTGTGTAAAACTGATCATAGGGTTAAGCTTTTAGGTCTTTTTTGTTGGCAAACGAAACTTTTAAACAAATATATAGTAAGCTTCTATTCGGTCTATTCTAAATAAATGCTTTAATACTTCGTCGAGTGATTAAATATATTTATATATATGTATGTGCATACCATATAATTTTTGTGTTATATGAATGTATATAACATATTAGAGCATTATCAACTAAAAAAAACATAAATTCTATATATTATTTATTCACATTTATAAGTATTCAGAACTAAATCGCTGATTGCTGCTGGTGGGGATCACTAGGCGCGTGTATGACATTTCAAACTGTGATAATTCAATTTTGCGCTGATCGTAATGCCAATGAACATTTAGTGAAGATTCTTATACGTTAGTATGTACATATAGTATATAAATATTAACAATATTCATTTACCGTACATGAAGGGTATATAAGTCATTATCACTTGCGAAAATCGACTGATCATTAAAGACATTATTGTAATAAATATATGTATATGAAAAGAATACAAAAAAAAAAAAAAAACGAAATACAAATAATTGTTTAAGACGTCTTCATATATGTATATATGTGTCAGCTACTGTCAACTGTGCTGCATGAAACGAACCGAATGCTTTTACATAGTGCCTGTGATTTTGATTGCCAACTATAATGTTATAGATGGCGGCGATGGTTGTTGTTGTTGTTTTGAACTGGTAATCTAATTGTAAGAGTCGTCAATGAGACACACGCATGCCACACAGGAACATTCTGTCATGTCTGTGTGATTGTGTGGGTGCACATACTGTGGGTTGTTTTTGTCGTTGATTAACTGTGGTTTCGAATTTTATTGTTTGTTATTCATGTTTTTAGTTTTGCGCCCTACTCTCATAAAAAAAAAAAAAAAAAAATTATATATGTATATATAAAAATGATGGATTACTTCCATATGCAATTTTCATTAATTTCTCATTTTATCTGTTAGACATTTGTATTAATGGTGAATGTTGTATTCAGAATTCTTTTAATAGATTTTTTCCCGTTTGTATTTGCAGCCATGTGGTCACTGTGAACAAGTCCTTGTTCTATGATAGTTCGGCTAGTCAGTGACCCTTATCAAGAGTGAAAGTACGGAGAGGGTAAAACACCATGTGTATTATAGGTTAATATACATACCTATAATGCACATGAATTTGTTTGCCAGTCCGTTTGGACAAGCGTAACGCACGGTTCGAAATTCCGAATAGAACTGAGACCGATTTATTTCCGTCTGATGCACAATGACACAAACCCTGCACTAGTAAAATAAAATACGAAAAGCTTTAATAAAATAATAATAATAATAAAAAAAATCCACAAAATTTTAGACAATTGTATACAATTGTTCGGGTGGATTTATGCTCGTTTAGAGTGATATGTGTTGAGCAGGAACTGTAGACACGCATACATAATATAAATAAGCTCTTTTCAACATATATTACCATTTCGCGTCGCTATCTGTACGTGCACTCTGTATTTCTATTCTACAGCAAGCCGCTCTCTAAACTGTTGCACGCATGTGCGTCACCGGAGAGCACAATTCACCCGAAAAGTGCAGTCACAATGTGCATCTATAGTACGATAGTATTAGATACACAAATATTTTTGCCATACAATGAAAACGCGGATACAGCAGCTAATCTAGTTGCACAATATCCAACCATCATGCATATTCCATTAGCTGAGACTGACATCCGCTTACAACTTATTCGGCACGCCAACATAACTTCATGCGACTGGAATAACTTCCACCATCGCTACAAAACGTACAACGCTACTGGACTTAGCAGCAAATATCCCCCCAATACCCGAAAACAGGAGTGGTCAACTTTTGTTCGTCTGCGTATTGGACACACACAATTTTCACACGGTCACCTACTTACGGGCTCTGCGCCTCCTCTTTGCAGCTGTAACAACAACAGCAACACACGTAAAACGGTAGACCATATACTTGACCAATGCCCAACCTACCAACGGGAGAGGATAAGACTCTTCGGCAACACACCTCCTACCACACTACTTAGCGAACCTACAGCTGTAAATATTAATTTAATTGTTAAGTTTATAAATCTTTGTAATATTTTTCATCCAATTTAACTTCCAACATTCACGTCGATGGCCCTCGTAGCTAGCACGTTTAATAATTTTTAGATTTATATTTTTT